ATCTATTGCACTCAACTCAAAATAATTGGTTGAGGCAGTGATGCAGAACTGTCAGTTTCAATATCTGACAGAAATCCCAAAGAGGTTTAGTCTACTCAAGTACCAGTGTGGAAAACACATGGAAGTGGTTAAAAATATGCAGTGATAATGAATGCAACAGAGATGAAAATTACTTAGAGGGTGTTTTAGTTTTAGGTCTTTCAAAATATTAACAAAATAAAAATTAAAGAAACATTTAGAGGGACAGCTAGACATTTTGGGAAACAAGTTATTTGCTGACCTGCTGTGAGCTAAATGAGAACATCAATTTTGCTCCTATGTTTGCTTAATTTAAAGCACAAGAAGCCAGTTAGCTTAACCTAGCATGACGAGTGAAAACAGAGAATCACACAGGTTAGCTTTGTTCAACTGTTAAAAAAGCAGCATTTTCCAAAACATTTGTCAAAGAAAAGAAAGGCAGAGCAGTTATACAGTATTATTCCTCCCTGCTATAACTGCTTAGCAGCCCTTAACTTTGAGCAAGTAGGAGATCTGTGTTGATTGTTTGCAAATTGCAAAACTGGGCTGACAGCTTGCCCGACCTTCCTAATCAAAAACCTAAAAATTGGATTTCCAGCAGAGGAGGTTCCTATAAAGCACAAAGCAACATACAAAGCAGACATAAAGGAAAGCCTCCTCATGTCAGCAGGCAGAACATACCAGAACTGCTGATTCAGCTTGTCTTCATAACCGCCGATACTCAGCCCGCTTTCCAATTACTGGACTGAAGTTAACTTGCAAGGACAGCAAATTTCTATTACCGTCTCTTTCCACTCAGCAGAGCAGACTGGAAATCATGTACTCAATTATCCAAACTGGATGGCAATGAAAGGCACATTAGGGTGTTTGTCCCCATAGATAATTAACAAAATATGCTCCTTGTTAATAAGTATTTGCTGGTTGGTCCACTGGGTATCCTCCCCCAATCTCCCACTGAGGGCCAGATGGCAGTAGGGTGATGTGAGGTGTTGTGGTTCCAGTGGATCCCCTCATTTACTGATGAGAGATTGGAGAGCTGGTTGCTTAAATGACTGGCATGAAGTAACAAATAATGAAACCAAATTAAAATATCAATCCTGAAAATACTGTTGTAACTAAGCCATGCAAGTCACTAAGTTTAGATTAATATACAAGGAAAGAATTTTGGCTGAATAAAGCTAAATAAAACTGGGTGACTGGGTGATAACTGGTTATCAGTAAAATCAGCTTTTAAATATAATGCTTCTGCTAAATAAAGATATACTGTTGGCCAAAAGCCTTCCCTGCTGAATGGTCGCCTGTCTGGTTTCTGCCAAAAAAAGCTCTGTGGCCACAGCACAAGGATGCCCAGAGCAGTAATAACCTGCTGTAGATGACATTTTCCACAGTTGCCAACCTTGTCAAAGTAGACAGTGTGTGTATGAAACTGTAGCTCTGGCTAAATCTGCTCAACCAGGAAGTTGGCAGGTTCACACATATACTGTTTGTCCTGGCACTTGATGCCTGTTGTTTGCAATCAGTCAATCCATAACAATAACTTATTCAAATAACATATTCCACATTTTCTCTCCTCTGATAAGTGTTGAAAATTCAGTATGAAATAAAATATATGTATACTTATTGCAATGTTACTGTGTAAAGTACATCTGTGCACACTGAAAATGAGAATTGAGTTTACTGACAGTAGATTAGCATGTTCAGGACACGCGTGTGTGCTAACGCTACAATTCTGCGCAGCTGAATAAAATTTTAAAATATATTTAGGCACCAATGTGCCTAAATATATTTTCTAGGCTTCCTCACAGCAGTAGACCTAATTAATGTCACTTGGCAGTTTACAAAGAGCCAGGAATACATGATGCTAGCACTGCAGATTTGTAAGGATTCCTCCCTTCATACTGTGTAATCTCTCGTGTTGGAACAAACAGAAAACCCGGGCAGTGATATATGACTGTTTATTGTGATTCAGGAACATAATGGCACCATAATCAGTTTTACTTTTATGAGTCCTGCATTGCTGTGCATTCATCAGTATAACAGCAACCACATTATATAGTATGCATGGAAACATGGCCAGTAAGAAGCAGTTCCTCTATATCAGCACATGTTAAATTGCTGTTCACCAGTGTAGATCCTGGAACGGTAAATCTATTCTAACAGCTCCGACTCTGTTTGCTCTTTTACATTTTTGCTCATAAATCATTTACAAAGTATGAATTTGCCATCGGTTGTGTGATGAGTCTTTGATTTCATGATGGCCACAGAGAAAAAGTGAAGACAAAGGCTGCTGCACTGCCAGTGGAGCGTACAGGATAATGAAATGTAACTGTGTATAGGAATGTGTACACACAACAGTGGAGGGAAACACAAAGATGACTGTCGTTATTGTTAGAGCCAGTAAATATGTGGGGGCAGAATAATCTGTTTTTTAGCCTTAATAATGAAACAAATCATCTGTTAATAGCTGGCAGTGACATAACCGTCCTGTCACGTCCTGCAGAAACACATCATCAAACCCATCAACATCATGATCCCTAATTGCTCTGTACACATGGGGGGGATGCAAGATGAAGCTACAAATGTTATGCTATGTACAAAGCATATGAATGTGTATCAACTAAAATAAACATAAATAATACATGCATACAATGTGCAGACAGTAGTAAAAGGGTCCATTAGCACAGTCAGTGGGCTAAATGGAGTGTAGTGTCACTTTGGGGGATAAGGTGCATGATGTATTTTCTGGGTGCCATATATTCTTGTTTTGACAATGCTTTTGACAATGTATTTTAAATGCAGCTGCCTGTTTCATGCTTATCATATAGCTAATAGGTCTATTACTGTATATCATTACATATATGGTGAACCAACTGCATTTCAGAACATTCATATCCGACACATTATTGTCTGCTGCCTGCTCTTATATTTTACAATGGTGGCGACAGAGAGCTGCAGAGCTGAGATTCTCTCTCTCTCCTCCTGAGCTGCATCCCATCCGTTATCTGGGCGGAGAGAGGGAGAGGGAGAGAGAGGGAGAGGGAGACCACATCCACACTGCCTTTTTGTTCTCACCCACAACTCTTCTGCGCAGGAGCCGGCTACTTAATTACATCCTGAAGAGACGACAGGAAGCTATATCAAAACAAAGCGGAGCTGTTTACAAATTTACCGCACACAAAGTGGAAAACGGGGTTATATTTAGATTTTCTGTAGCTTTTGGACCCTGCTTCCGGCTTTTTCGTCTTGTTGCGTTACAGGAGCTCTCATTGTGACTGGAGTGATCCCCTTCTTTTGTGTTAGTGGAGCTGCAGAGCAACAAACACTCTAACTTCTGCCTCCTGTTTCTCCAAACAGGAGGTTTCATTTCTGCTTGTCTTGTTACGGCATAAACGGAATGAATGACAAAAACAAGGGAGGTTGATGTCCATAACTCTGCGACTCATCTCTTCTTCGCCTCGCACAAGGAACGGAGACTCCATCTCCGGCAGAAGATGGAAAGCGGAGGCGGGACGGAGGGCTCGGACAGCGGGCAGACACAGCGGGCGGTGCCCGGGCAGCAACAGAAGACTTCCCGGCCTGAAACTGCGGAGCTCTCTGCGGAGCTGTCCGCTCAGCCCCCCGGGGGAAAGAAGAAGGTACACCGGGCTCCATCTCCGGCCAGACCGAAGGATGTACCCGGGTGGTCGCTCACAAAGATCCGCGGAGGAATTGGGGCTCCAAGCCTGAGTGTCAAGCCGGGAGCCATCCACCTGGGTAGCCGCATTTCCAGGCGCAGCCCGGGGG